CCCAACATGTGACAGCAAAGAAACAGTGCAATTCTGGCCACAGATATGAGACAACCCAAATAAATATTTCAAGAATGCAGCTTGGCTAAAGGAGATGGAGAAGGAAAAAAAGAAGCTGAAATGAAATAACTTGTAATAACAGGAGAAATGGTGTATGTGTGTGTGGGAGGGGGAGGGCAAGGAAGGTTACAGTAGAAGGTGACCTTGAACTACGTGGTTTTTGGTTGAAACATTTGACTGGTCTGCACTCACTCATCATTAGATCTACAGTTAGAATAGTGGATTGGACTCAAACTGATTTAGATGTGGACTGGACTCAAACTGTATCGGAAAACCAGAAAAATAATAATGATGAATCATGCCCTGCATTCATGCAGTGACACTGACAGACTCTATTAATCAAGGAGCATAAGTGGTCATGGAAATTTGCAAGTACACCAGACAGTTAAAGAAGAAAAAAGGGCATTGGAAAAATATCTGAAGGACAGTGAAGAAGATGCATTGAAACAACTATACCATGAAGGCTAACTGAATACCAAAGAGACCAAAATGATCTATAAGAAAGAGCAGATTAAGAATGCAACAGAGATTGGGCAAAGTAAAACATTACACGGCCAGTACACAAAATAACTGCAGGCAAAGCAGATAACAGCAGGACCTGGCAATGACTAAGAGTAGGTAAGTTGAAGAAATACTGAGGGGCTAATTCTGGCTGCACGAGACCGAGTTTTATGAACAAATGCACACAAAGTCAGAACAGACAGCAAATGCCATCTCTACAAAGAAAGTGAAGAAACAGTGGACCGCCCATTTAGCTGCTGCAAGATAACACAGACTACAAACAGATTACAAATAACGGCACAATAAAATAGCAACAATGGTATATTGGAATATCTGTAAGAAATACCACTTGTCTGCAAGCAAAAACTGGTGGGAACCAAAATAATAAAAAAAATGTAAAAGCTAAAGTATTCGGGGACTTTAAAATTCAATAGAGAAGCACCTGATCCATAGCACCCTAGACTGTTGATAATAAAGACAAAAATAGTGAACACTGCAATATCTGGAGACAGCAGAGTATAGCAGAAAGAGCAGAAGAAAATCACAAAATACAAATACTCTCAAACAGAAGTATTAGAACTTGGCAAAAGGAAGCAAACATAGTATCAATAATAATAGGTGCCTTAGGTGCAATTCCAAATTACCTGCACCACCACTTGAGCACGATAGCCACTGACAAAATCATCAGTGTCAATTGCAAAAGATGGCTTTATTTGGTATAGCTCAGTGGTTCTCAACCTGTGGGTCGGGACCCCATTTGGGGTCGATCGACCATTTCACGGGGGTCGCCAAGCAAGGCTGTCCACCATTTTTTTTGTCTGCCATTTTTTTTGTCCATTTTTCCCCCTTTTCCGGCAGGTGCCTTACCTCCCTTGGGCTGGGCCAGCTGGTGGTCGGCCTGCTCCGTCTACGCCTCGGCCGGCGCAGGGGGCGGAACCACGCATGCGTGGCGCTCCCGGGCAGGGAAAGTCGACTTACAACCGGTTGGGTAGTCCTCGACTTACGACCGGTTTAGTCCTCGACTTATGACCGGTTTAGTCCTCAACTTACGACCGGTTGGGGTCGCGGCATTAAAAAGGTTGAGAACCACTGGTATAGCTTATATCCTGTTAAAATATCTTTAATATTATTAAACATCTGTCTATCCCAGGTCCTTGGGAAGGTTGAAAAAAACGTGCCAAATCCAGTCTCATTATCTGGCCAAATGTGCAACAGATGATAATAATTTTTGCTATCAAAACAGCAAAAAAATGCTATTAAAATCTCATATTTGCTTTATATAGATATCTGAAGCTTTATGGAAAATCAGAAAAAAATCCAGTCATTAACAAATGATTTAAGAATTTTTAGCACATATATAGCAATTAAATTTGATTTAGAGTGGCTACTACTTCAGTAGCAGTGCATTTACTGCTACAGCCATAGTAGGAATAAATCAAAGTAAAATTGTGAATAGTAATGGAATTGAAATGCTGAATGGTTAATCAGGACTCATCAGGATTAAACCTACAAGTATCAGGGCATTTTATAGTTAAATATCAAGCATGGGCAAGTTAAAAATGTAATCAGTGAAGAATATATTTGCTGCTCAAGAGGAAGCTATTTGAACCAATGTAATCAAGGCCAGAATTGAAAAACCATGCAGTTTGTGCAAAGAAGCAGAAGAAACAGTAAATCATATACTTAACTTGTGCAAGAAGGTCACACAAACTTATTATAAACAGCCTCATAATATGTCAAAATTATTCACTGGAACATCTGCAAAATTATCAAAAGCCAATTACAGAAAATTGGTGGGAACATATAGTTGAAAAAGTAGTAAAAAATAAGCAGGTTAAAATAGTGTGTGATTTCCAAATAAAAAACCTGATAAAGTCTTGGCACATTACAGCCAGATTTAACTGTGGTTGAAAAGACAAAAGTGTGGATAATTGATGTGGCAATATCAGAGGATAATAGAATAGCAGAACTGGAAGAAATCATACAGTATTAAGATCTGAAAATCAAAGTTAAAAGATTATGGCATAAACTGGTCGTAGTGGTTGCAGGGGTTATTGGCAAACTGGGTGCCATACCAAAACAACTGAGAAAATCTATGCATTGACAAAATTTCCATCTGTCAATTACAAAAGGCCACACTGCTTGGATCTGCACATATACTATATTGATACATCACAAAATTTTAGGTTCTTGGGAAGAACTCACATGTAAATGCCACCACCAGTTAAAGAACTGACAGCTGTGATTTCACATTGTTGTGTATATAATAATAGTAATAATATAAATTTTGCCCAAAGATCTTTAATATGACAGTTATTTAAGTTTTTGCTCTAACTACTGATGCACAAAAGAGGATATTAACTATTTGTATGGTTAAGTGGTTAAGTTCAAGTAGAAATCAACAGAACATGCAAGCAAGAAGATTGGAATGCCAGTGTTGGAAATAATAAGAAAATATTGTTGAACTATAAGGATTAGGAATAAAAAAATAAGCAGGGGACCAATTTATCTGTTTCTGTCAATCCAATTATTTTTTTTAACACTGCTAATATATTCTTCAGACAACCAAAATAATATTTATATAAACAGATAACACCAGATGGAACACACACACACACACACACACACACAAAATCAAATTAATTATATTAGTGGTACAAGGTTGTGGAACAGCTCAGTTATAATAGCAAAGATGTAGCCAAGGGTTTATTGTGCAAAAGACCACAAAATATCATGGGCAAGTTCCAAATCAAGCTAAAGGAAAAGAACAAAACCAACCAGTTTCCATAATATTATCTTAAGCATATACCTACCAGTTTCAAGCAGAACATCAGGAATCACTATTAAGTCCTCAACCTCATTGATAGAGAACCAGAAGCTGTGGAACAAAATCAAAGGATCTGTTAAGGATTAATGTGAAAAGAGACTGCTAAACATCAAGAAATAGAAAAAAGCAAACTGGATGCCAGAATAGATGGTGATAATTGCTAAGAAATAAAGAGAAGCCAAAGTCAAGAAGCACAAACAAAAATCTCAGGACAAAACTTAAAAACTTTAAGAGAACTGTTAAAAGGTACAAGGAGCTGAATCATAACATTTGTAAAGAGATGAAAATAAGACAGGCTACTGAAAAATAAGACAGGTTTTCCAAAAGATCTTAAAATTCAAAAGAAATTTCCAGTCATGAAATGGTATTCTAAAGAATGCCAATGGACATATAGTAATTGATTTAAAGATCAAACAGAGATAGAAGAAACATAGATGTTGATATACCCATTGTACAGAATTTCACTAAGGTACCTTATTTCTGCAGTAGAAGAAACTACATGTACCTCAGGGATGAATTGCAAAATCCTTGCTGTTGTCTGAGCTTAGTTGTTTGCTTGCAGACTTTTCTGAGCTTGGCTGTTTGTTTGCAGACTCTTCATTACCCACTTAGGTAACATCATCTGAATGTGGGGTTTGCCCTGCCAGTGTTTTTGGGGTGTGTGGTTTTTTCCTTGGCAATTCCTTGATTAGGTATGGGCATGGACTAAGAAGTTAAATGTTTTGTTTAGGCCAGTAAATTTCAAACATGGCAACTCCAGCAGGCTAGCTGGGGAATTTTAGGAGTTGAAGTCCAGACTCATTAAGTTTGAAAAACACTGTTGTAGGCCCTTGAGTCTGGCCAACTATGGATTCAGACTGACTAGTAGGAAAAAAATGTCTGTTATTCTGCAGCCATATATTGTATGCTGTATGGCCCATGAAGATCAGTGGAATCAGTTTTGAATAGGCTACCTAGGAATACACAATATAGTCCTTTGTTTTATTCATCAAGAGACCCAGAACAATTACAGGCTTACTCAGATCCCAGGCATGTCTTCGCAGGACTTAGGTAACCACAATTTATTCTATCAAACAATTACTTAATATAATTATTTAATGGGGCTTTGTACAAAAAAATTAAACTATTAGATAGGCTAGGTTTACATGTTAAATTACGGTTTGATAAGATAAGATAGCCTTTATTGTCGCTTCTTTCTGTAAACACACTGGCACACATTAAAAAAGGAAATTCTGATGCCCGTTCTCAAAAGTAATATATATACACCCATACATGCACATACATATGCTATGTATACACACACAAATATACACATACCTACATATACATACACACACACATATTTAGAATCTATAGCTATAGTTTATACTTCTGGGCATCCTGTGATTCTAAGTTGAGTCGCTTCTTTGTGCAGTATCAACAGATGCCTCTCGTTCTCCGATAGACCCAGCTGCAAATTCAGTGCCAACTCAAGTGTTGGACAGAAGTACAAACTTTGCACTCGATAAAAGCCACATTCTGCAAGATTGGGCCGATCCCACCCGAAGCTCTGCCGGCCTATCAAAACCCCGCACCTTGGGTTATGGGGATTTCGCAGCTCCGCCCAGTATCACTACCAGCCGAACCCGGAGCGCGATCCACCCCCTTCATTTGCTCCACAAGCTGAAAATGGCAGCCGTTACAGGGGCGCTCCGAAGGTTATTGAAACCCTCGGTAAGTGCGACCCCCCCCCCGCTTGCTGCACAGACCCCGAAACATGACCTGTCCTGACCCCCGGGCTTTGCTTCGCTTCGGCAGGGCGGCTGCAGTCTTCGGGCTTCTCCGTTATAGCGTTGAGGCCCACGGCGCTTCTCTCCCACTCCCAGGCTTCTTTTCTGAGTCCGGCGCGCTCTGTGCACGAGAGTTAGCCGAAAAACCTTGCAGGGTTTCTAATCGTTTGCTTAGGGGCGAGGACGAGGTTCCTTTGTTGACGCCCCCCCCGCTCCCTCCCTTGAACCTTTGACTGCTTTTTTGCAAAATGGACCGCTCACCGCAGCCTTCCCTAGATTTTCCTTTTACGCAATATATATTAAACATATATATTGCGTAAAAGGAAAATCTAGGGAAGGCTGCGGTGAGCGGTCCATTTTGCAAAAAAGCAGTCAAAGGTTCAAGGGAGGGAGCGGGGGGGGCGTCAACAAAGGAACCTCGTCCTCGCCCCTAAGCAAACGATTAGAAACCCTGCAAGGTTTTTCGGCTAACTCTCGTGCACAGAGCGCGCCGGACTCAGAAAA